ACCTATGCAACCCCTTTGGGGTCAGGATTCTCAACGGGGAATTGGGGATAGACTGTGAAATATGCTTTCTCAGAATATAAGTAGTTAGAGGCAGCCAACTACTTTAACTACAGGAATTTTTCTGAAAATACTCCATTAATAAAAAGAAGTCTACCTGGTTCTTTCCTTTCTTTCTTTTTTTCCTTGAGATAAAATTGGAACTTTTGTTCTTTGCTACTATTTGAAAAAGAAAAAAAAACATATGGTTTTTATTTCTGTAGAATAGGCATCCCACCTTACGTACGTTGGCAGGTAGCTGATGGAGCGCAAACATGGGAATTGATTTCTGTCTCAAATAAGTCACCTCCGTGCATGGAAGGGAACATCAGTATCCACGGCGGAGCTGTTCTATTTCAGGTTTATGCCAAGTAATTAGCACTTCAAGCTCTGATTGCTCTGATTAAGTTGCATGCACGTACCGACGAGACAGTAGTTAGTGATCCCTTAGTAGGCAGGCCTAGGGGTACTAATCAATCAACGATTTTATCCAATGACTTGTTGTATTTTCTTCCTTATCTAGGCTTGTTTCACAGATCTCATCTGCTGGGGCAAGATAAGTAGGAAAAAACAGTGTTCTTTTAAAATGATAATGGAAGTAAAAAAAAGTGGGGGAACAGCCAAAGACATATGAAAACCTCCAACTCTTAAAAATGGGGAAAAAATCTCAATAGAGCACAGTGTGTGTAGGGCTTATCTGTTCTGAGCAGGTTCCAAAGAGTAGCTTTCTTGTGGAGAATATTCTAAAAGGCTAGGCTACAACTGCTAAACTAAAGTACTCTTAACCACAGAAAAGAGAAATAGAACTTTATTCAAATTTAATTACAAGATTTTATAACTTGTCCACCAGAGATGGAATGTATTTTTTTAAAAAACAGATTTAAATAAAAATATTTCAACAAAACGTTATTAAAACTGAAATCCTGACTCAGCTGCCGCTTTCTCGGAGCTTCTGCAATACTGGCATTTTAATCGTTAAATTCATTTAATATTTTAATCCAATCTGTTCTTAAACCACCGCTACAAGATTTTGTTACTATTAGGTAAAAACATGGTACAACCAGGGCTTTTTTTGTCATAGAACGCCCAGAACGGAGTTCCGGCAGCTTTTTTGGATGGAACCTTGTAGGGTAGGCAAGGCGGGTTGTACGACATGTGTGAGTTCCGGCACCTTTTTTTTTTTTTTCCCCGCAAAAAAAGCACTGGGTACAACCAACTGCAAAATGTTTAAAAGACAGTAAAATCAGATGAAATAAAGTGCTAAAAGATGACTACTGTATTACTACCTACATAGAAATGAGGAGGTGGATAAGATAGTCCCTTGCTAAGCATTTAGAACAGATGGGAAAAGAAGCATTCCACACCATTCACCACCATAATATAGCAGTGCATTTGATTGCAATTTCATGTTTGCTATTTATTTTCAGTAACAGAATATGTATTCACCTCTAGTTATGAAGAGAATATTTGGTCAAGATTTTTTAAAAATAGCTTTTAACAGATAGTGCTTGTATAGTTGTATTCTTTATCAATACTGTCAAAGAAGCCAATAAGTATTGGTCACCCGTTTATCTCATGTACTGTGTCTAATTCTAAGCACTATATTTTTAGGAATGAGTCAGAAAACTCAAACAGATTCAAAAGGATAAAAAAAAATGATCAGCAGATTAGAGGCTATGAAGTCTCTATGAAGAAGTCTCTCTGAAGAAATATTAAAGATCACTAGAAAACAGCAATGGATACAACAATACCAGTCAAACACCCCATAAAAGGATGTCACACAAGTGTCAAGTCAAGACTTGTTCTACATTATTTCAGAGTAAAGAACAGAATAATTTGGATTAATATAGATTTTAAATAATAGGAGAGCTTCCCAATTAAATGCTAGAAAAAAAGCTTACTGGGACCATAAAAGCAATTCAATTGTGAACCAATTATCCAAAGTAGTGTGATTGCCTTCTCCGGATGCCTTGAAGGAAAAGTTGACAACCATTTGCTAAGATGCTTTCATTTAGATTCCCACACTGAACAGGAGATGGGCTCAATGCCCTTATTTCCAAGATAGTATGATGGGATTATGCGAAAGAAATGGAATCTTGCAAAGTCTGTTTCTTAATTGGATTATAAGTGATGTGAAGCTGAGGGGAACTATGGATAACCAGGTTTGTTACATTAAATTAAGGTATTAACTAGGTTATTACAATTATTAAAGATGGTAAAAGTAGGAGGAGATAGGGAAGAATTCTTAAAACATATCCTCAACCTGAATGGACTTTAAAAATTCAAAGACTACTACTTACATTGTAGTATTTAATGTAATCAAGTACGAATGGGGTTTTTTTGGGGGGGGGGGGGTTGTAATACAAGACTAATAAGCTATTCATGGAAGTTAGGCATATGAAACCATTCTTCTTCACACAATTCAGTGGTAAAGTATGAAACTTGCTAAGACTTGCTCTGAAAGGTTTCCAGAGAAGGTTGGATACATGCATAAGGAATTAATATTAGTCACAATCAGCTTCAGTATCTGAGACAATATCTGCTATGGAACAGGCACAAGAGAGTAGTAGACTTCCTACAGAAACCGAGTTGGCTGCTGTTGGGGACAGAAATCCTTGCTCTTCTTTTCATACTAAAATAGTTATATTCACTGCTTGTTAGTATCTAAAGGTTTCTATAGGTATCTATAGGTCTTCAGTTTGGTTCTAATTTTAAAGTTTTGAACTGTCTGAAATCTCATTTCTCAGGGTATACCTCTTTCCACATGAGTTTTCCACTTAAAAATTCAAAATAACATTTACCTAGGCCACGGGTCGGCAACCCGCAGCTCCGGAGCCGCATGTGGCTCTTTCAGCCTTCTCCTGTGGCTCCCAGCCTCCTCCGCCATTTGCAGAGAGAGAGAGAGAGAGAGACAAAGAGAGGCACTTGCGCTTCCCTTCTCTGTCTCTCTCTCTCTCTCTCTCTCTCCCTCCCTCCCTCACACATACAAACTCTCTCTCTCTCTCTCTCTCTCTCTCTCTCTCTCTCTCTCTCTCTCTCTCACACACACACACACACACACACACACACACACACACAGAGTGGGGGAAGAGGACTGGCAGACCAAGGGCAGGAGAGAGCCAGCTCAATAAGAATGTGTGTCAGCTTGTTGGAGAACAGCATGAAGCCAGCTTGCTAGGTGAGCAGAAGATCGGAGAGAGGGAGAGAGGGGGGGAGAGGAGAGAGAGAGAGGGAGGGAGACGGGGGAGAGAGAGAGGGAGGGAGAGGGAGAACTCATGCACAGCAGCCTCTATTTGTTTTTAATTAAACTCTTCAATCAAGCCCCCCCCTCTGGTGCGTGCGCGCGTGCTGCGGCTCCCAATGTTTTCTTTTCTGTGGGAAACCGGTCCAAGTGGCTCTTTGAATGTTTAAGGTTGTCAACTCCTGACCTAGGCCACCCAGCATAACCCCTTAACTCAGTGGTTCTCAACCTTTTTAATGCCGCGACCCCCAACCGGTCGTAAGTCGAGGACTAAACCGGTCGTAAGTCGAGGACTAAACCGGTCGTAAGTCGAGGACTACCCAACCGGTCGTAAGTTGAGGACTTTCCCTGCCCGGGAGTGCCACGCATGTGTGGTTCCGCCCCCTGCGCCGGCCGAGGCGTAGCTGGCAAGCGGCAGAGATGGAGCAGGCCGACCACCAGCTGGCCCAGCTCAAGGGAGGTAAGGCGCCCGCTGGAAAAGGGGAAAAAAATGGCGGACAGCCTTGCTTGGCGACCCCCGTGAAATGGTCGATCGACCCCAAATGGGGTCGCGACCCATAGGTTGAGAACCGCTGCCTTAACTGATATACATTCAATATGATTTGTCTAACCCAGTTCTTCTACAACTATGCTTTGTAAGCAAAATGATAACACACCCTTGTGTTTTATAGTTTCCACCAACACCAGATTACTGGAATATCGCGACTTCTGTAGGCCTAATTAGAAATGTGAACATCCATTATTTAGATTAGATGGCCCGAGAATACTACTCTAGCCAATGCTCATCACAATAGCTTGGTATAGTCCCAAGACTAGTTAAAAAAATAACTTAGAAACAGAACAAATACCCTGCAGAGGATGTTAACCTTCCTTCAACTGAGCATTCATGCAGAGACAATACAGAAAGATCCTTGATTGTACAAAAACAGTGAAGTTATTTGCAGCTGTGCAATTGAAGCATCGCTTTGAGCTTATGCTGCCTGCTTTCTGTTGAAGCATTTTTTTTCTAAGTAGGTAAACTATAGGTAATTACTTTTATGTAATCAAACAATCTATTCCTTTCTTCGTAACTATTCCTGGAGCAGAAGCCAAAGACTGTAAGACAAGAAAGAAATAGCTGACTATAGATTAGAAGCATCATACTGAAAGACAGTAACAGTCTTAGCAGCTTTTAATAATCACTCCTGTATGACTGGAGGGAATAAAAACTGGCTTCTAATCTAACAATTAAAGATGTTTCCTATCTCTCATTCGTCTGTTTAATTCATTGCGGAATATTCTGCTGCATTTTCTGATCGTTGGTTACGTTACATGATTTTATTCTGAATTGCCTTTTATCCTAGTATTCATCCCAATATTTTATTGGGTTTTGCTCACAATCTGGTTTGGCATTAGAAGATTAGTAAAAGTGTGCAATGTATGTCAAATTGAAATATTTTGTGCAATTTTATGAAGTGTAAATGTGAAACTTGAAAAATTAAAACTCAAAAATCCTTACACGTTGCTGATCAAAATTATTAAACCACGTGCAGGTGGTAGTTTGCTCAGATCACTAACATTCTTAAATCTGAAGCGTACAAACAGTGTTCAAAAAGTATGAGAGAACACAATCTTTTCGTCTGCATTTCAGCACACAAGGAACAACTTTTTCAAACGAGAATGAAATAAAAACACATCCAGAGAGTATAATCTGGATTTACTCTCCACTTTTGTTGCTATCTACCTGTTGAGGGAGTTCGCTGATGAGGTACTGTGCAAATTTCTGCAACTGATCCCTTTGTAGTCGAGACAGGGACTCAGAGACAGGCGCTCGCAAGCAAACTGCAGATGCCTAGAGATAGAAGGAAAAATAAGATTATTTCTTTAACAGAATGTCATGTTTATGGTTAAATAATTCCAAGGGCAGATAAAGCTGCATAAGAAGCCATTTTTGGAACATATATATAGTGTTGTTTATTAAAATCAGGCTTTGGTAAGGATGATTGTCGATGAATCACAGCAAGATGGTAGACTATAGCCAAAATAGATATATTGGTATGATTGACTTTGAGTACATTTATGCTCAATCAATATTTACTTGGAAACAGCATAGGTAATCCTCGATTTATAACAATTGGGTCCAGAATTCTGGACATAAATCAGGAGGTCATTAAGTAGGTCGCCATGTGACCTGACTCATTTTTACAACAGTATTTATTTAGAGTCCCTGCAGTTGTTAAGCAAAAGACACGGTCATTAGGCAAATCCAGCATATCCAATGAGCATTTTTGACATTTTCTGCTGGAAAATGGCAAAAAAACAACAACAACCCTACACAAATCACAGTCTTGTGACTGCAGGACACTGCAATTGGTGGTAAATACAAACTGGTTGCCAAATCCCCAAAATGCAGTCACATGACTGGAAGGGGTAGTGTGATATTTTACAACAGTTAATAATGCTTTGCAGTCTGTAAAGCACGCTTTCCAAGGCTGTTGTAACTTCCAACAGCCATTAAGAGACCTGTTATTAAGGAAAGACTAGCTCAGGCATGTCAAACTCGCGACGTCAAGTGATGTCGCGCAACGTATCGGAACTTTTTCGCCATTGCCAGCAATGGGGTGGGCGCGGCTCCAGTATGATGAAACCGGCCCGCAGGCCGGCAGTTTGACACCCCTGGACTAGCTGGATGTATGGAGTTCAGAAGTACCCTATGGGCAGCAATGTATTATTGATTGCGGATCAACATGTTAACAAAAATAGTCTGAAAATTCATAAGCCACCAGATCAATCTGTTATAACATGACTTCCAGCAAGTTAGCATCAAAATAGTTCCTTTTGGTTATTTGACTCCACACAGGTAGTCATTTTGTTATTAGATAAAGAAATTCTGCATTAGCATATAATAGGCTGAAAGCAGTTTCCTTCATGTAGTTTTTCCACAAAATTTAGCATTGGCCACCCAGTTTGCAATAAAAATCTATGTTCTAATCAACATTCTTGACATTCAGAGGACCCCAGACTTCTTATAATGATAGTTTTTAATCAAGAGCATTAAAAACCTTTTGTTTGTTGTATGTGCTTCCAATATAATATATCTAGGAAAAAGAATATAAGTAAAGTAGTTTTTATTATACAGCAACCATATAATGTTTTGGAAAGTCTTGATCTGGTCACTATTCATTTGAAAACTATGGCTAATTGAAATAATATCTGTCCTTTCAACAACTTATGTCCAAATCCCTCATGTGATTCTCTAAGCTTCTTAAACCATCAAAGAAAAATTCTGCAAAAGTGTAAATTTAAACTCTATAATGAATCTTGGCCAATTCTTCTTCCCAGCTGATAAAAAACTGTTCTACAAAAAAAGTAAATGAGTTTTCATTTGTATTTTCAGAAATCCAAACAGAGTTTACACAAGAGCTGTTTTTTTAAAGCAGCTGATTATGCAAAAAAAATATTCAAATGAATGCAGTCAATGTCTCCTCACTGCTTCAACGCAGATATAGTCACATCATACCTAGCAGAGTATTTACAAAGTTTATTACTAGGTAAATAAAAATGCCTGCCTATCCCATTATTCAAAGCCACAAAAATGTTCTTTATTGCATTTCTATTGCTGTATTTTTATCTTTTTAGATTATCCAACAAGAAGTTGCTTCACCAAACATATCAAAGAGTATGCATCCATTACCAATTTTTTGAGGCAGATCACCTAACATGCAGCATTGACTGTTCCAATGTAACCGTGTCTCGACATTCTATGCAAAGCAGTATTAAACAAACATATTTTTTTCAAGTCTAAGTTTAACTAATGAAACAGAAACTAAAATCAACATAACTTTTCATTACGGAATACTTGATTTTTAAGTTTTACTGTGCAATAAAACAACAGCCATATTTCAAAGCCTACATTGTGTATCCGAAAGAGACAAAGGGCTACCACATGGGCACACCATTTAGCCCCAGCTCCACAAGTACAGCTGCATGAGGTGATCCTGCATCTGTCAAACATTACTGCCACGTTGTAGGCTCCTTTGGGTGGCACTATCTGTGGAGGCACCACTGTGGCACTCAGGTGGAAACCTGTTGGAGAGCAGGACAAAAGTTACGGTCTGACGGTCACTGAAGCAGAGCAAAATGTAGCTCAGATGTATAATTGAAATACTATTCAGTCAAACAGCCATTCTCTGCAATACTCAATCTTCCCAGTTTCAACGAAAAAAATCAAATAATATATTTCAGCTATTCTCAAAGGATAGTTTTATAGTAAAAAATTGCATTTGGATAGACGATGCTCATCTAAATTTAAACTAAAATCCTTTCTATTGACAACTACTATATCAGATGTTTTAAGCACTGTGCACATTTGTTACCCATGTTTGCACATAATATAATGCAAATTTGGGCTAATATTCATGGCTCCCAAAAAAGACTTTTGCAGTTTAATTTCATTTTCAATTAATGCAAGTTTTCCATTACATATAAACCAGAGACGGCAGGTGAAAACAAACTCTTCAGCCACTTTATCTGAATCTTTTAAAAAAATCATTAAATTGTTTTAACCCACTATCATTATCTGAATGTAACAAGGCAGAATTCATGGGACCTATGAGCCAGAGGATATTTTTTCAGAGTTGTTAGTGCTGTTCATGTGGTACAAAGCCAAAATGTAGGCTACAATATTATCTCCATAGCTCTATTCGGTTTTTAAGGATAAGAAAAATGAATACTTAATTCAAAGCTATCTAATAAATCCATGGGTGAAACTTTATCTCCTTATTTTGTGGTAGGACACACTGTTCCTTTTCTAAAACACACACACATTTAATGTTCTTAAATACTGTAGTAGACATGTTTCATCTGTAGCTAAAGTTTCCCAAACATATCTCTTAAAAGTTGGAAATGCTTTACATTCATGCAGTAGTAAGGGGTCCTAATTTCTCAGGCTCCTCAACTTAAAAGTACCTAGATCAGTGGTGGCGAACCCATGGCACGTGTGCCAGAGGCAGCACTCGGAGCTCTCTCTGTGGACACACATGCCGTTGCCCCAGCCTTGCCTCCTCCCGTGACCCCCTCCACGCCAGCAGCCTCCCTGGAGGAGAGTCGCCCCCGAGCGTGGCCCGGGTGGAGCAGCGCAGCCAAGGACATAGCAGCCAGGCAGCGTAGACAAGATTCTGCCCTCACACCCCATCGCGCACAGTTGATGCTGCGGGGCGTGGGCAGAGGGTGTGGCCGTAATGGTGCTGCTGGGCTGCCTGGGCGATCTGCGGTGGGCCCTGGAAGTGGTGAGTGGCCCTGCGGGCAGGCGGGGTAGGGGCGGGGCAGGGGGTGGAGCGGGAGCGGGGCCAGTTTTTGGGCACTCGGTCTCTAAAAAGTTCGCCATCACTGACCTAGATTAACAAATAGGAAGTAAACATAACAATACACTGCCATAATAATTAAAGCAATTATTAGCCTATGGAGATCAGCAACCGTTCTGGGAGGCTTGCTTGTGTACCCCAAACTACTGGACTCTAAACAGAGTAAGTATAGTCTATGATGGGGGAATTTAATCCAAAACATTGCCAGGCCTAAGACAAAAATTAAATCTGATTTACTTAAACTATATCCTACTACAATTACATAGGAGTAATTCAATATAGTCAATATGATTTATTTCACATATCTAACGTGTTTTCCCTTTTTTCAGCTATTAAAAATACAATTCATTGGAAACTTTTGGAGTGGTTTCAAAAGCCTGATCACGAAGCTTTGGGGCTACAAAGTGATAATGCTCTAAATACGGACTTTAGCAAGAATGAAAAAAATAAAGACCGCCTCTGTTTTAAGATACTGTACATTAACAAAGTTATAAGCATGAACATGGAGATGAAATATAAAGTTAAAAAAATGACCTAGGAATTGCCCTATTTGAAATAATTGCAAAAATATTTTAACTGATTTAAGCGTCCGCAAAAAAATATATATTTTAAAGTCAATTATAGATTAAGACTTGCCCACCTCAAAGAGGATCCAAATAATCCATTACTTTCTGTCATTTTGAGACATCTAAGAGAGGAAGAATTCACAAATGTCTCCCCCAGCTAGTTCTAAGGATGTCAGGATAGAGTGCAACTTTATGTTTGCTCAGAAAGCATGCTCAAATATGTAGAACAGGGGTGTCAAGCTCAATTTCATTGAGGGCCGCATTAGCATTGCGGTTGCCCTCGGGGGGGTGTGTGGCCAGGGTGGGTGCGGCCTACTGGGTGGGCATAGCCAGCTCTACATCGTTCGCGTCAAGGGTGCCTGTGGGGGCCTGGGCAGGAGTGGGACAGATCTGAGGGTCTCTGGCAGAAGGGGGTGGGACCGGGGCAAGCGCCAAGACATGGTCCATTTCTTCATTCCTCACAAAGGGTGACACCTCCTCCAGCATGCACCCAGGGGGCAGGGCCGACGCGGCAGGGGCTGGTTCCTCGCTGTTTCTAGACGGCCTTGTGGAGCTAAGACTGAATGCATTTCAGCATAGATGGCCACCACAAAATTGCACCTTGGCTCCAGGCTGGCCTGGGCCAGGGCCAAGGCAGTGGGGACCGTTCCCTCACTGTTTCCAGGATGGCTTCGCGGGCCACATGAAACCACTTCGCGGGCCGCATCCGGCCCCCGGGCCTTGTGTTTGACATGTCTGATGTAGAATATGTTTAATACTCATCAAAATCTGCCTCAGACATTTTTTGCACCGGACATGAGATTTTCAACAGCAGTGTAAGTAAAGTAAAGGAGAGCAGATCCTGCACTAAGCAAGTGAATTAGACTCAATTCCAGTTTGTAAGATATAAACATCATACCTATCTGTAATGGGTCTTTAACAGCCCTCATTCTGAAGAGTTGCTCGCCTCGTTGGAACTCATCTGCACTGCCATTTGCCAAGCATGAATATAGCCTAAAAGAAATAAATCATTCTATTATTAGAATGATCTTCAATAGAGACTGACAAGTGCATTCCATTCCACAGACAATGCAGAAATTATGGGTAGATTTCAAAGAGTAGATTATATCACAGTGAAAAAAGGCTACATTAAACATAGAGGCAATTTCATCACATACAGATTCTTAATTGCGAGTCACAATTTGCACTGTGAAATTGCCTCTTCTATACAGCTATTAAACCTGTAAAAGCATTTCTTTTACTGACAAAATAGAAAAGCATATACAACTCAAGACTGTTATATGGGGTCTATTTTTTAAAAAAAATGTAAACATAGGCAATGGTAGGTTGAAAGCTATGAGTTTTAGGTCAAAGTTATACATTAAAAATCCATTCAAAACACAAATATGTTCATTTTACAAGAGAATGAATATATTATGGATTGATTATTAACTAGGCATGAAAAGCTTACATCTTACTATGCAGTTTAAGACATTTATATCCTGACCTTCTCTCCCAAAAAGTTCCATGTGCCTAATATAATTGTGAGAGAATAGCTGTGGAGTTTAAAAAACCTTCCTGCTTCCTTTCGCCTAATACAGGGGTGTCAAGCTGCCGGCCCACGGGCCGGACGCGTCATCCAGAAGCCGTGCCCACCCCATTGCCGGCAATGGCAAAACCGTCCCGATACGCTGCGCGACGTCGCAAGTTTGACATGCCTGGCCTAATAGCATAAGAAGAGAAACAGGAGCTGTTCTCATTAAAAAGGCACCTGTTTCAAATGGAAATTTGCTTGCTGATCTCAAGAGCAGAGAACACTGTGGAGTTGACTTGAGAATATCATAAGACAGAAGACAACTTCAAGAGTTGAAAAAAAGTTAAGAGATCGAAGAATAAGACTGGGAAAAGGGACCCAAAGGTTCTATGGGAGAAAAGAATCAGCAACCAGGAATTATGTAAGTGTGTGCATTATACTAGGGCTTTTCAACCAGTGGTAGGGGTACCACCTGTGGTACATTGGCACCTGGCAGGTGGTACGCGACCATCCTAGAAAAGTGGTAGCGGGGGAGGGGAATGAGCTGAACTGGTGGCAGCACCGCACAAGCCTGAGCAAGAGACGGCTGGAGCTGCAGGGCTGTCAGGGCTCAGCGGAAGTACCAGGATCAGTGCCAGGCTCCAGCTGGAGCTCGGCGCTGATCTTGGCACTTCCGCTGAGCCCAGAAGAAGCGCCAATCAGCTGGAATGTTGCAGCATCTCCAAGGTCTTGTGATTTACATTCAGATGCTTGGCAACTGATTCATATTTATGACGGTCACAGTGTCCCAGGGTCATGTGAAGTGACCAAAACCTGCTGCAACCACCCAGCAGACGGGGGGGGGGGGAACCAAACACCCCCACCCCACCCCCGCTGCCAATCCTCAACAGAAATGCTCACAACAATGAAAACCTCGGACAGGAGGAAGAGCGCCGCCGGGCAGGCAGGCAGGTGTCTTGCTCGGCTGTGGCTTGGAGGGGGGCACTTTTTTCAGTGCCACTGTAACTTCGAACAGTCACTAAGCGAACTGTGGTAAGTCGAGGACTACCTGTACTTTATCACTTTTTTTCTTTTCTTTTTTTTTGTCATCAAGTTTTTGACACCTTGCTAGGCGACTGGTGGTACTCAGATATTGCCATATCCTAAAAGTGGCACAATGGGTGAAAACGTTGAAAGGCCCTGCATTATACAATACTGCTGAAAACTCCTCCACTAGGAGAGGGGAATAAAGAAAGGCTTTGCCAGCTGAAGAAACAAACTTAGAAGAAATTAGCAATAAGAGACCCAATCCATATGGCTTAAACTCACAGTTCCTGGAGTTTGTAGAGTATAGAAAGCCTAATAGTAATAGGATGTACCCTAAATGGGGGGCCAACACAGACAATAACAGAGAAATAGATAAGCCCTCCCCCAGCACCTTTGAAATGCCAGTGTAAGGAAGACCCAAGAGGATCTGGAAGGCTGGGCTGATTTAACTATTTGTCTACATGAATCATTACTCTATTCCACTGCAAATCAACCAGACCTTAAACTGGACAGGCTATAGCAGTGATGGCGAACCTATGGCATGCGTGCCAGAGGCGACACTCAGAGCCCTCTCTGTGGGCACACGTGTTGTCGCCCCAGCCCCGCCTCCCCTGTGGCCCCCTCACCAGCAGACCCCCTGGAGGAGAGTCACCCCCAGGTGCGGCCCGTGCGAAGCAATGCAGCCTAGGACATGGCAGCCAGACAGCGGGGACAAGACTCCACCCTTGCGCCCCGTCAGGCGCAGATGATGCTGCAGGGTGCACGCAGAGGGCGTGGCTGCCATGGCGCTGCTGGGCTGCCTGGGCAATCTGTGGCGGGCCATGGAGGTGGTGGGTGACCAGGCGGGTGGAGCGGGCGGGTGGGGACGGGGCCCTGGCAGGGCGGTTTTGGGGCACTCGGTCTCTAAAAGGTTCGCCATCACTGGGCTATAGTAATTTCTCACAAAATAAATCATTGGATTTAGCAGTTTCCTGGTTACCCAAATAGCCCCTCTGCATCAATACAAAGATTAAAATAGTCACCAGAAGTCTAAATCCTGATTAGATAGTATGTCCTTTAAAAAGATATACACTGCTTATTTATTTATTAAATTTATTTGCCGGCCGTCTTATTTCAAACGACTCTGGGCGGCTTACAGCATAACCTGTTCACAACAAAAGTTGTGTATCAAAAACTTTTTTTTCCCCTCAGAGGCGTAAAGCTTCCTCTATTTCATCTTACGAGGTTCAAATTTCAGATTTTTCGTCATGCTTAATTCATTTAAACAGTTAACCAATTTAGTGTGCGTAATAAATCGGTTAGTTGATTGAACGAATTGAGCATAATGAAAAATCTGAAATTTTTCTGAAAAATTTTTCTGAAAATCTGAAATAGAGGAAACTTTACATCTCTGAGATGAAAAGGTTTTTGATGCACAACTTGCGTCTGAAAAAAACTGAAAAGCTTACCCACTCCTTGTTTGCAGGAGGTCAAAGCAAATACCATTTTAGTGAAAATAATAATACGGGATAACTACCTGATATCTTCTTCGTTCTCTGGAAAGCTCCAAAAGGCAATACGGAGCTGCAGTTGCTCAGGCACAGGTGGGTAGACTTTTTCCACTACTTCAAAGGGAATGTGAAATGCCACCTGCTTGGCTGACAGTTCCACCAGTGGGATCACCGACCCATCTAAAGGAAATGAAGAGCATTGGCAAGTTATCTGAATTCTGCAGAATTTTATCGTTAAGAATGAAGGCAAAAGACAGAAAACGTCCTGGCTTTTCTAAGTGCAAAATAACTTTTTGATATTTTTCAAGAAACTGTAAGAAATAGTCCTATTCATAAAGATTAAGATGTCAAGAAAAAATAACCCCTTTGTCTTCAATAAACCACTTGCTATAAACCAGTGGTTCTCAACCTTTTTAATGCCGCGACCCCAACCGGTCGTAAGTCAAGGACTAAACCGGTCATAAGTCGAGGACTAAACCGGTCGTAAGTCGAGGACTAAACCGGTCATAAGTCGAGGACTACCCAACCGGTCGTAAGTCGAGGACTTTCCCTGCCCGGGAGCGCCGCGCATGCGTGGTTCCGCCCCCTGCGCCGGCCGAGGCGTAGCTGGCAAGCGGCAGAGACGGAGCAGGCCGACCACCAGCTGGCCCAGCCCAAGGG